TGTCCATCGGTAGATGAATGGATAAAGAAGATGTGGTACATATACACAATGGAATACTATTCAGCCATAAGAAGAAAACAAACCCTACCATTTGCAACAACATGGATGGAGCTAGAGGGTATTATGCTCAGTGAAATAAGCCAGGTAGAGAAAGATGAGTATCAAATCATTTCACTCATCTGTGGAGTATAAGAACAAAGGAAAACTGAAGGAACAAAACAGAAGCAGAATCACAGAACCCAAGAATGAACTAACAGTCACCAAAGGGAAAGGGACTTGGGAGGATGGGAGGGAAGGGAGGGATGAGGGCAGGGTAAAAGGGGGTATTACGATTAGCATGTAAAGTGTGTGGGTCGGGGCATGGGTAGGGCTGTGCAACAGAGAGAAGACAAGTAGTGATTCTACAACATCTTACTACGCTGATGGACAGTGACAGTAATGGGGTTTGTGGGGGGGATTTGGTGAAGGGGGGACCCTAGTAAACATTATGTTCTTCATGTAATTGTACATTAATGATAACAAAATAAAAAAATAAATTTCTTGAGCAACACTGTGGTTACTAGATTCCACCCATTATCAAGTCCACACCACATACCCCATTACAGTCACTGTCCATCAGCGGACTAAGATGCTACAGAGTCACTACTTGTCTTTTCCGTGCTACACTTCCTTCCCCCTGCCCCCCCCCCCCCCCACACACTGTGTGTGCTAATTGTAATGCTCCTTTTTCCCCTTATCCCTCCTTTCCCACCCATTCTCCCCAGTCACGTTCCCTTTGGTAACTGTTTGTCCATTCTTGGGTTCTGTGAGTCAGCTGCTGTTTTGTTCCTTCAGTTTTTTCCTTGTTCTTATACTCCACAGATGAGTGAAATGATTTGATACTCATCTTTCTCTGCCTGGGTTATTTCACTGAGCATAATACTATCTAGCTCCATCCATGTTGTTGCTAATGGTAGGATGTGTTTTCTTCTTATTGCTGAATAATATTCCATTGTGTATACATACCATATCTTCTTTATCCATTCATCTACTGATGGACACTTAGGTTGCTTCCATTTCTTGGCTATTGTAAATAGTGCTGCAATAAATATAGTGGTGCATATGTCTTTTTCAAACTGGCTCCTGCATTCTAAGGTTAGATCCCTAGGAGGGGAATTCCCAGGTCAAATGGTATTTCTATTTTGAGTTTTTTGAGGAACCTCCATACTGCTTTCCACAGAGGTGGAACTAATTTACACTCCCACCAGCCGTGTAGGAAGGTTCTCCTTTCTCCACATCCTCGTCAACATTTGTTGTTGTTTGTTTTTTGGATATTGGCCATCTTAACTGGTGTGAGGTGATATCTCATTGTGGTTTTAATTTGCCTTTCTCTGATGAATAGCGATGTGGAGCACCTTTTTATGTGCCTGTTGGCCATCTGAATTTCTTCTTTGACGTAGTATCTGTTCAGATCCTCTGCCCATTTTTTAATTGGATTATTTCCTTTTTGTTTCTTGATGTGCGTGAGCTCTTTGTATATTTTGGATGTCAACCCCTTATTGGATATGTTTTTTATGAATATATTGTCCCATACAGTAGAATGCCTTTTTGTTCTACTGATGGTGTGTCCTTTGTTGTATGGAAGCTTTATACAGGTGTTCTTTGTACTATTCTTATTCTTGCAATTTTTCTGAGTTTGATATTATTTCCAAATAAACCTTTTAAACTGCATATTGTCACTGAAATCCTGATGTACCCAATTCAGCTATATCAAGGATTAAAAATTAGGCTATTAAATGTGATATGTCAGGAGCAATGCAGGTGAACAATTATTGCTATAAAAACTGCAACTTCCACATCCTGTAAACAAAGAGATGCGCTGGCAAGAAGCCATGTAACAAGTATGCAATCTCAGTTCTCTTGGCCCCCTGTTTTTTATCAGGGCTTGCATCTTAGCAAATACCAAAAAGGGGATCTAAGTTTTGAAAAATATTCACGTTATTAATATCTTTACCTTTTAAAATAATTTAGTGGTAAAGAAGTTTTTCAGCATTAAATTCTCCCATGCACATGACATAAATTTCTGGAAAATATAATTTGAGAAAATGGTCTGTTTGGGCAACTTAATATTCTGGTTAAGTGAATTACTCATTTTAATGCTTCCAATATTGTTGTTGAAAAAAATCTTTCTAAACTGTATCAGTATATTTAATTGCCTTTTTGGGTAAAATACATTGATCCTAATAGAACCTCTTTGTAAATGGTCATCAGCCCATCAATGTTTCTTGTCCAGGAGTGTGGATGTGGGTATGTATACATACATACATGTGTATGTATGATCATGAGCTGAACGTGAACTACTGATATTTTTAAAACTAAATCCCATTGTCTGTCTATTATCATTTCTTCTCTATCTTAAAAACTCACAGCATAGAGAACCCTGTTTCATGTCAAAAAATTATTTTCCAAAAATATGTCATGTCCGAGAAGTATATTTTATTTTTCCTTCTACACTGTAGAAGAGACTATAACAATCTGATGCTTTTTAAGAAGGTAGGAATGCTGAAGCAAATGTCTAAACTGGATTTCAAAATGTGAATTAACATTTTGAAAAGTTCAGTAAGCTAATATTCAAAAGTAAAAACTTCTTATACCTTGTTTGCTAGGTTTATAGTGCTGAGAGCCTTATCACGATATTCTCTGTTGTCCCAATCCAAATAAGTGGTGGCTAGTAACCGTAGAACTTTAGCCTATAATTAAAAATAGAAAAAAAGTACACAGCTGAGGGTTAAATTGCAATACAATAGCTGTCTAGCACTTGTGTAGTAACAGGCATCTTCTCAAACATAAGTTATCATTATGAAACAGCATTTTCCTTAAGTAATCACACAGTCTGATTTATGTCCCATAATTATACTACACATATCAAATACTAAGCATTTTACAGTAATAGCTTATTTACATTTAATATAATTATTTTCCTAGGTGTTTTAGCATCAAAGTACTTAATCCTTAAACAAAAAAGGAAACTAAGGCCCAGCAACATTTAATTTAATCATCTTACCACCTACTGTATAGGTAGACCTGTATTACACCTTCATCAAAATAGATAAATAGACATAATCTCTTTCTCAAAGGCTTTACACCCTAGTTGGGATTAACCATTAAGACCAAGGGCATATATACCACCATGTGAGTTCAAAATAGATAAATTTTCATAGAAAATATTTCTCCCTATCCAGCTGTTTTAAAATTTCTACTATATTGCTGAATGAAGTCATACTCTGCAGCCAGGTCTACATTGATAAGGGGAGTAAACTCAAGTCAGCATAGACATATTTTACTACAGGTTGCCATTTTGAAAGAAGGAGCTCTATTTCAATGAAAAATCTGCCTTTTACACATAATAAGGACAGTAGGACCAGGCAATGGTGATCTTCTAACATTTAAAAAGCTATGTTAAGGTGGGGCCAAGATGGCGGCGTGAGTAGAGCAGTGGAAATCTCCTCCAAAAACCATACATATTTTTGAAAATACAACAAATACAACTCTTCCTAAAAGAGACCAGAAGACACAGGACAACAGTCAGACTACATCTACACCGGCGAAAACCCAGCGCCTTGCGAAGAGGGTAAGATACAAGCCACAGTCTGCCGGGACCTGAGCACCCTTCACCTCAGCTCCTGGCAGGAGGAGAGGAGTCAGAATGGGGACGGAGAGGGAGCCCAGGACTGCTAAATAGCCAGCCCTAGCCATCTGCACCAGAGTGCAGACACACAGTGCATGCACGGGGGGGGGGGGGGNTCTGCAGCTGGTGCCACTCGGACAAAAAAAAGCAAGTGCTTTTTGCAAGTCTTAAAGGGACAGTGACCTGACAGCTGGACAGAAGCATCCTGGGACACTTCGCCCAGCAGCTGGGAATCCCAGGAAACTCTGGGTGCTCTAAACCCCTGGGCAACAGCACAGCTTGGAGGCCCCTCATGGAGATAAACAGCTTCCCAGCCGTTTCCCCTCCGAAGCAGCTCCGCCATATTGGAGCAGCAGCCTGAGGCAGGCCACGCTCAAAGCAACTGCAGAGCTAAATTCCACAGTGGCCCGGCAAGAATCAGAAGCACCATCTGAGCACAGCTGCTCACAACAAGCCACTGGAGGTCGCTGTTTTCCCAGGAGAGGAAGGCCACAAACCAGCAAGAAGGGACGTACTCCAAGCCATCACATGCACCAGCTCTGCAAACTCTCTCTATTGCCATGAAAAGGCAGAAGAATTTGATACAGACCAAAATCACAGAGTCAACCATTCAGAAGGAGATACACCTAACCAATCTTCCTGAAAAACAATTCAAAATAAATGACATAACCATACTGACAGAGCTGCAGAGAAATGTGCAAGAACTAAGGGATGATGCGTGGAGGGAGATTAAAAAAATGAAACAGTCTCTGGAAGGATTTACAAGCAGAATGGATAAAATGCAAGAGGCCATTGATGGAATGCAAACCAGAGAACAGGAACACATAGAAGCTGATGCAGAGAGAGATAAAAGGATCTCCAGGAATGAATATTAAGAGAACTGTGTGACCAATCCAAAAGGAACAATATCCGCATTATACGGTTACCAGAAGAATAAGAGAGAGAAAAAGGGATAGAAAGTGTCTTTGGAGAAATAATTGCTGAGAACTTCCCCAAACTGGGGGAGGAAATAATTGCTCAGACCACGGAAGTACACAGAACTCCCAACAGAAGGGACCCAAGTAGGACAACACCAAGACACATAATAATTAAAATGGCAAAGATTAAGGAAAAGGACAGAGTTTTAAAGGCAGCTAGAGAGAAAAATAAAGGTCAACTACAAAGGAAAACCTATCAGGCTATCATCAGAATTCTCAACAGAAACCTTACAGGCCAGAAGAGAATGGCATGATATATTTAATACAATGAAACAGAAGGGCCATGAACCAAGAATACTTTATCTACCATTATTATCATTTCAATATGAAAGAGGGATTAAATAATTCCCAGACAAGCAAAAGTTGGGGAATTTGCCTCCCACAAACCACCTCCACAGTGTATTTTAGAGGGACTGCTCTAGATGGGAGCACTCCTAAGGCTAAACAGATGTCACCAGAGAAAATAAAATCACAGCAAAGAAAGAGGACCAAACAAATACTAACTAAAGGCAAAAAATAAAATCAACTACCCACAAAAACAGTTAAAAGAAACACAAAAGAGCACAGAATAAAACAGCCAACATATGAAGAATGGAGGAAGAGGAGGAATAAGAAGGGAGAAGAATAAAGAATCAGCAGACAGTGTTTATAACAGCTCAATAAGAGAGTTAAGTTAGACAATAAGATACTAAAGAAGCTAACCTTGAACCCCTGGTAACCATGAATCTAAAGCCTGCAAAGGCAATAAGTACATATCTTTCAATAATCACCCTAAATGTAAATAGACTGAATGCACCAATCAAAAGACACAGAGTAATACAATGGATAAAAAAGCAAGACCCATCTATATGCTGCTTACAAGAGACTCACCTCAAACCCACAGACATGCACAGATTAAAAGTCAAGGGATGGAAAAAGATATTTCATGAAAACAATAGGGAGAAAAAAGCAGATGTTGCAATACTAGTTTCAGACAAAAGAGACTTCAAAACAAAGAAAGTAACAAGAGATAAAGAAGTACATTACTTACTGATAAAGGGCTCAGTCCAACAAGAGGATATAACAATTATAAATATATATGCACCCAACACAGGAGCACCAGCATATGTGAAACAAACACTAATAGAACTAAAGGAGTAAATAGAACGCAATGCATTCGATTTAGGAGACTTCAACACACCACTCACTCCAAAGGATAGAACCACTGGACAGAGAATAAGTAAGGACACAGAGGCACTGAACAACACACTAGAACAGATGGACCTAATAGATATCTATAGAACTCTACATCCAAAAGCAACACGTACACATTCTTCTCAAGTGCACATGGAACATTCTCTAGAATAGACCACATACTAGGCCACAAAAACACCTCAGTAAATTCAGAAAGATTGAAATTCTACCAACCAACTCTTCAGACCACAAATGTATAAAATTATAAATAAATTGTACAAAGAAAACAAAAAGGCTCATAAACAAATGGAGGCTTAACAATATGCTCCTAAATAATCAATGGATCAATGAACAAATTAGAGATCAAGGAATATATAGAAACAAATGACAACAACACAAAGCCACAACTTCTGTGGGATGCAGTGAAAGCAGTCTTAAGAGGAAAGTAATAGCAATCAAGGCATACTTAAAGAAGGAAAAACAATTCCAAATCAATAGCCTAACATAACAATTATCGAAACTGGAAAAAGAAGAAGAAATGAGGCCTAAAGTCAGCAGAAGGAGGGACACAATAAAGATCAGAGAAGAAATAAACAAAATTGAGAAGATTAAAACAATAGAAAAAATCAATGAAACCAAGAGCTGGTTCTTTGAGAAAATAAACAGAATAGATAAGCCTCTAGCCAAACTTACTAAGAGAAAAAGAGAATCAACACACATCAGCATAATCAGAAACAAGAAAGGAAAAATCACAACAGACTCCACAGAAATACAAAGAATTATTAAAGACTACTATGAAAACCTATATGCTAAGAAGCTGAAAAACCTAGAAGAAATGGACAACTTCCTAGGAAAATACAACCTTCCAAGACTGACCAAGGAAAAAACAGAAAATCTAAACAGACCGATTACCAGCAAGGAATTGAATCAGTAATCGAAAAACTACCCCCCAAAAAAACCACCGGACCAGATGGATTCACCTTTGAATTTTATCAGACATATAGAGAAGACATAATACCCATTCTCTTTAAAGTTTTCCATAAAAAGAAGAGGAGGGAATACTTCCAAACTCATTCTATGAAGCCAGCAACACTCCAATATCAAAAACAGGAAAAGAACCCACTAAAAAAGAAAACTACAGACTAATATCCCCGACGAACATAGATGCAAAAATACACAACAAAATATTAGCAAATCGAATTCAAAAATACATCAAGAGGATCATACACCATGATCAAGTGGTATTCATCCCAGGGATGCAAGCATGGTAGAACATTCGAAAATCAATCAACATCACCCAGCACATCAACAAAAAGAAGGACAAAAAACACATGATCATCTCCATAGATGCTGAAAAAGCATTAGACAAAATTCAACCTCCATTCATGATAAAAACTCTCAACAAAATGAATATAGAGGGCAAGTACCTCAACATGATAAAGGCCATATATGATAAACCCACAGCCAACATCACACTGAACAGCAAGAAGCTGAAAGCTTTTCCCCTGAGTTCGGGAAAAAGACAGGGATGCCCACTCTCCCCACTGTTATTCAGCATAGTACTGGAGGTCCTAGCGATGGCAATTAGACAAACCAAAGAAATTCAAGGAATCCAAATTGGTAAAGAAGAAGTTAAACTGTCACTATTTGCTGATTACATGATATTGTATATAAAAAAAACCTAAAGACTCCACTCCAAAACTACTAGAACTGATATCAGAATATAGCAAAGTTGCAGGATACAAAATTAATACACAAAAATCTGTCTTTCCTATACACTCACAATGAACCAATAGAAAGGGAAATCAGGAAAACAATTCCAATCACAATTTCATCAGAAAGAATAAAATACTTAGGAATAAACCTAACCAATAAAGTGAAAGGCCCATACCCTGAAAACTGTAAGGCACTCTTAAGAGAAATTAAAGAGGACACTAGCGAAAGGAAACTCATCCTATGCTCTTTTCTAGGAAGAATTAATATTGTCAAAATGGCCATCCTGCCCAAAGCAATATACATATTTGATGCAATCCCTATAAAATTACCAACAACATTCTTCAATGAACTGGAACAAATAGTTCAAAAATTCATATGGAAACACCAAAGACCCCGAATAGCCAAAGCAATCCTGAGAAGGAAGAATAAAGTGGGGAGGATCTCACTCCCCAACTTCAAGCTCTACTACAAAGCCACAGTAATCAAGACAATTTGGTACTGGCACAAGAACAGAGCCACAGACCACTGGAACAGATTAGAGACTCCAGACATTAACCCAAACATATATGGTCAATTAATATATGATAAAGGAGCCATGGACATACAATGGGGAAATGACAGTCTCTTCAACAGATGGTGCTGGCAAAACTGGACAGCTACATGTAAGAGAATGAAACGGGATCACTGTCTCACCCCATACACAAAAGTAAATTCAAATGGATCAAAGACCTGAATGTAAGTCATGAAACCATAAAACTCTTAGAAAATAACATAGGCAAAAATCCCTTGGACATAAACATTAGTGACTTCTTCATGAACATATCTCCCCAGGCATGGGAATCAGAAGCAAAAATGAACAAGTGGGACTACATAAAGCTGAAAAGCTTCTGTACAGCAAAGGACACCATCAATAGAATAAAAAGGTATCCTACAGTATGGGAGAATATATTCGTAAATGACAGATTCGATAAAGGCTTGACATGCAAAATATATAAAGAGCTCACGCACCTCAACAAACAGAAAGCAAATAATCCAATTAAAAAATGGGCAGAGGAACTGACAGACAGTTCTCTAAAGAAGAAATACAGATGGCCAACAGACACATGAAAAGATGCTCCACATTGCTAGTTATCAGAGAAATGCAAATTAAAACCACAATGAGATATCACCTCACACCAGTAAGGATGGCTACCATCCAAAAGACAAACAACAACAAATGTTGGCAAGGATGTAGAGAAAGGGGAACCCTCCTACACTGCTGGTGGGAATGTAAATTAGTTCAACCATTGTGGAAAGCAGTATGAAGGCTCCTCAAAATGCTTAAAATAGACTTACCATTTGACCCAGGAATTCTACTTCTAGGAATTTACCCTAAGATTGCAGCAGTCCAGTTTGAAAAAGACAGATGCACCTCTATGCTTATCACAGCACTATTTATAATAGTCAAGAAATGGAAGCAACCTAAGTGTCCATCACTAGACGAATGGATAAAGAAGATGTTGTACATATATACAATGGAGTATTATTCAACCATAAGAAGAAAACAAATCCTACAGTTTGCAACAACATGGATGGAGCTAGAGGGTATTATGCTCAGTGAAATAAGCCAAGCAGAGAGAGACAAATACCAAATGATTTCACTCATATGTGGAGTACAAGAACAAAGAAAAACTGAAGCAACAAAACAGCAGCAGAATCACAGAACCCAAGAATGGGACTAACAGTTACCAAAGGGAAAGGGACTAGGGAGAATGGGAGGGAAGGGAGGGATAAGGGCGGGGAAGAAGAATGGGGATATTACGATTAGCATGTATAACGTTGGGGCGGGGAATGGGGAGGGATATGCAACACAGAGAAGCAAGTAGTGATTCTGCAACATCTTACTATGCTGATGGACAGTGACTGTAATGGCGTTTGTGGGGGGGACTTGGTGAAGGGTAGAGCCTAGTAAACATAATGTTCTTCATGTAATTGTAGATTAATGATAACAAAATGATTTTAAAAAACCGGCAGAACTGTAAGGCGAAATACAAAAAAAAACAAAAAGCTATGTTAAGCACACTAGGGCTCTGTGAATCTACATTTAGGGTGTCATATCTCTGAGTTCTTTAATTCCAAAAGTAAGATGTATTAAATAAGATTGTGTTGTGTACTTAGTATCATTATTACTGTGGAACAACTCTCAACTTACATACTCCTCCAGAGGACTTTTATGAAGTAAATATGGCATCTTTGAGAAAGATTGTAGCTATTTTCATAATAGCAAAAGTGTCAAATAATCAGAAATACGTAACAAAATGGATGAATCTCAAAACTGTTATGTTAAGCAAAAGAAGGCAGACATAAAAATTAGGCTATTAAATGTGGTATGTCAGGAGCAATGCAGGTGAACAATTATTGCTATAAAAACTGCAACTTCCGCATCCTGTAAACAAAGAGATGTGCTGGCAAGAAGCCATGTAACAAGTATTTAATCTCAGTTCTCTTGGTCCTTGTTTTTTACCAGGGCTTGCATCTTAGTAAATACCAAAAAGAGGATGCAAGTTTTGAAAAATATTCATGTTATTAATATCTTTACCTTTTAAAAATTTAGTGGTTTTTAACATTAACAGCAACAGGCTCACCTGATGCCTCTTTTCAGACACTACTGCAAACAAGAGTAACCAATTACCTGATCTTCAACACCATATATTATTTCTACCTGTTTTTGAAAATTATATTTATGCAACCACACAGTATGCACTATTTTCTATCTTGTGTTGTTTATTCAACATTATATGTGAGAACACCCATACTGTTGTACATGATTCCTTCTATACAGAGTTCAAGAAACGGTGAAAATAATCTATAGCAATAGAAGTCAGAATAATGGTTTTATCTTGAGGAGTAGCAATGGCTATTAACTGGAAAGGGGCCAAGGGAACTTTTGAGGGTGATGGAAATTTCTGTATCTTGGTATGTGTGGTAGTTACAAGACTATATAGATATATTAAAATTCATCAGGCTGTACGCTTAAAATTTGTGTAAGTTAGTATATATAAATTATACCTCAATGAAGTACTGCTAGCATGAAAGAAAACCATCATAAGCTACTTCATAATCTTACCTCTTCATACTTCACAATATATTACATTTTAATCACACTTAAATCCTGTCATCCATCCTCAAATCATCCATGCTTAAATCAATTCCTCCTCCAAATATCTTCTCATCTTGATCTCTTGCCTGGTATCTCCTTATCCCTCCCTTTTAAATGCATGGACCCCATCTACTTTTCAAGATCTTTCCTACCAAAGGCTTCTTCAACTATTCTAGTCAACTTTGATACTCCCCTTTTCTGCATGCCCTTCTACATATTTCAGGTCAGTACTACACAGTTTATCACTTATTTTTCCCAAATTGCCTCATTTGTACTAGTGTTTTAAATCTATTTTTGAAATTTTAGTTTAAGCACAAAGTACATACAAAAAAGTTCATGATCCCAAGAGTATAGCTTTGAATTTTCACAAAGTGAATACATGAATGTTAACACAGAAATCAAAACACAGAACATTAACAGCAATAGGCTCACCTCATGCCTCTTTTCAGACACTACTGCAAACAACAGCAACCAATTACCTGACTTTCAATACCATATATTATTTCTACCTGTTTTTGAAAGTTATATTTATGCAATCACACAGTATGCACTATTTTGTATCTTGTTTTGTTTATTCAACATTATATGTGAGAACATCCATACTGTTGCAATTATTTAATTTATTCTCATTGTTATATAATCTATTATGTGATACTATCACAATGTTTTTTTATTTTTAATTGTGATAAACAACACATAACATATAATTGACCATCTTAATCATTTTCAAGTGTATGGTTCAGTAGTATTAAGTATATTCATATTGTGCAAGTCTTTTAACGTTGCAAAATTGAGACTCTATACCCATTAAACAATAGCTTCCCAAGTTCCCCTCCCTCTAAACCCCTGCAGCCACATTCGACTTTGTGTCTCTATGAATTTGACTGCTCAAGATACCTCATTTAAGTGGAATCATACAGTATTTATCTTTTTGTGAATGGCTTAGTTTATTGTACAATGTCCTCAAGGTTCATCTGTGTTGTAGCATGCGTTGGAATTTCATTTCTTTTCAAAGTTAAATAACATTCCATTGTACTCATTTGTATTAGTTTTATCATTCAAACATAAGCTTCTTAAGGGTAGAGGTCACATTTTACACTTCTCTTTTATTCCCCATCTATCACGTTGCTAGATATATATAAGTATTCAGTTACATTTTGATTGATATACTGTAATAGAAGCAAAAATGGATATGCAAAAAAGTTTCAATTTTGCTATGGTGTGTATTAAATTAGTTCTACATCAGATTTACATAATCACATTTTGCTTGATTAAATATTAAAATTAACTTTCATATTAAGCATGCTGTATCTGAGTAGTTAGGGAAAAACCTAGAACTTTTTAATGCAGTAATGAAAGCTAAAATTTATATAGCCAAACACTTCTAAGCACTTTACATGTATTAACTCACAGGTAGGTAAATTCTACAGGAACAAATGCATTGAGACATTAAATGATGTGCTCAATGGGCAATCTATTAACAAATGGGGGTGATAGACTCATGTTATAACAATAACATAAGCTGTATTTCTTCAATTTACTTCTGTAATATTTAACATAATCCTTACCAGCATTTCTGGCACAACAGAATTCTTATCCATCTTCCCAATATCATAACTCTGGCTATCATTAAAAAAGAAAAGAATACATATATATATACATATTAATTTCAAATTATATATTTTTTCAAGATTATATATTATTAAGAAGACATTGTATAACTATATTCAAACATTTCTATTTTTCACTACAACAGATCATTAGCCAGTTAACATTATGAAAACCAACTGTATAAAGCAGTATTTTCTAACTGCAGATAACCGCAATTTCCGCAGGATATATATATCCAGTAAATCAACACTGTAATTATATTACTGGTCTTTTCTCTTTGGCTATATATATATATATACCATATTAAACTTGTTTACATGTATATACAAGCTCTTAATGGGCATATTTTAAAGTCTAAGAATTATAAATATATTTTGAAAATAAAACAAATACAGGAGCTTTCATGGAGACAAATGCTTTAGCAATAATTATTAAGCTTCACAACATTCTTGTGAGGCAGCATTAGTTCCACTTTGCAGCTGAATGAACCAATTTAGCAGTTATGTGATTTCTAGTATTTCCTAGATTGGTATTGAAAATGAGAATGAGCGGTTGGAGGGTAGAAAAATTTGACATTTGAAATCTAAACTTCTTAGATTTCTCTTCTAATCAGAATTCTCTGATTTAATTACCAAACCATATTATCTAGCGGACATTCTGATAATCACAAATAACATATTAATACAAGCCTTGGGGTTTCAAAATCTGAAACTTAAAAAGCAAAGCAAAGATCACTCACCATAAAATTCGTATTCCAAGAGAGGTTGTCAATAAAATGTCGGTGAACTGAACTAAACTAAAGACATTACTTTTAAATATTCTTTTTTATAAAAACTCTAAAAGACTAGGAACTACCAAACAGAGTTTTCAGCATCCTAACAAAGAAATAATGCTGGCCTAGTCATTGTAAGCCCTATCTCATAGAAGTCTCCATTGTTACATTAAACTTTCTACTTCTAGTTTTTAAAATGACCATTGAGGATGGAACTACCATAATGGGGGTATAAGGAGCTATTGGATCCTCTCTCCCATGAAACAAGCATTTGCCTAGAAAAATCATTAAAACAACCATTTAAGATCTCTAGAAATTGTCCTAAGGACATATAGCAAATGGAAAAACATTTATTTTAAAAAGTCAACAAAATCTTAATAAAAACAGTGAGCGTCTATAGCATCTGAGCCACAACCTGCTCCTCCTCTCCACACCACCTCCATGAGATGAAAGTAATCCAGATGGGTGCTATCAAGAAGGTGGAAATTCCCTCTCCCTTCAGCTCCTAGGCTATGGTTTCGACTTGTGATGGGCAGGTGATCAGCCTCTCTTATCTTCCCCAGGTCTGTATTGTGAAATTACTATTCTAGGCAGGGGCAATGAGAGGACTGGCTCTTCCGTTCCCCACTCAGTTCTCACTCTTAAGATAAGGGCTCTACCACAGGTGTTACAGGTCAAGACTACTGGGACCCTGAGCACCTTCACTCAGCCTGGCTCATTGAGCAATGGTTCCATGCCACAAGGGCATGCCAAGATCAGGAGCTACTATCTCCCCATGTGAGTAAAATTGCAGTATTTCCAGAATCTCTTGCCTGGCCTTAGTGCATCTCAATATCAGTAGGTGTTTCCAAGAGGTGGAGAGTAGTCCATCTCCATATTAATAGGTGATTACATGGGGAAGCGAGGGAATATCTGGATCAGTGCATATCCAGACCAGAAAGGTTGGGTGGGGTCCCTTTTGGTAGCGGGGTCACAAGAGACATGGGTGAGCAGAAGTGGACAACTGTTTGAAGAAATAAATGGGTTTCTCTCACTTTATTCCTCTCTTTGACTGATTTCAGTTTCAAAGGTATTTTGTCCTGGGCTGGGAAAATATTTTCCCCCCAGAGTTATGCCCCAACATACACACTTAGACCAGGGGTGTCACTTCAAGGAGAAGCATGCTATCCTCCTGCAACAAACACTAGTAGTGTGGTACAAAGGTTCTGCCCAGGGGTAAAAGCAAGCAATAAAGAAGAAGAGCTCAGCATTTATGCTTGAGGGGACTGACTTTATTTAGAAAAGAGCAAGGAGAAGTTCCTGCCTAAGAGCATTATCAAAAACAATAAAGATCTTAGTGGTAAGCAGTCAAGAATGGCTGGTAGCTCCATGGTAATAGTAGCAACAAGTGAAGTAGCATACCTGCCAGAAGTTTAACAGAGACAACCAGAGGGAAAAAAATGGCCAAGAAGAACAATCCTGAGGTCACACTCATCCCTGCAGATATAGAAGGCTATATGCACATGTGCTAGGCTGCATCCACTCAGAAGTGTGGGGGCAGACTAGGAAGAATTCCTCAGGGCAAACACAGATCCATCAACAAAGAGCCTTGAGCCTCAGTGGCTCAAGGCACTTAAACTGAAGCTCTGACCAAACACTGACTGAAAATTAAGCTACTCTAGTCTAAGGGTGATGGTAAGAAAGCCAAGCTTAAAAAGTCAAATTACACTTCTGGTTTGGGGTTCCACATGTAAGGAACTTGGAAGTCACTACTCTATACTAATAAGTAAAATGTAAAATAAACAACTTTTTTGGCTCCATAACAGAAGGGAGGACACAGGGAAAACCACTGGCCCCATGACTGGAGAAACAGACAGGCAAATAAAAGGAGTTGCAGCTTACCAAAGGAGAGACTCATGAACAGAAACTGCAAAGGGAACCAACCCGTGCTAGGTCATGAAATTGTGAATTGTAATTGACAGATTGTTGGAAGCTCAGTATGGACAAGTCTATGAGTTAAAAATTTCAGAGGAACACACTTGGGGGATCGGAGGAACCAACAGTATTGTTAAATTTACCTCCAAGAACTTGACCAAGTTCCCAAAGTAAATAAATATCAGAGAAAAATCCCATAAGGCTTTGGCAGGTGGAGGTGAAAAGGAAAGATTTTTTTAAATTTATGTATTTATTTATTTAAGGTCTCATTGATATACAATCTTATGCTCAGGTTTCACATGAGAACACTGTGGTTACTACATACCCCCTATTATCAAGTCTCCACCACTTACCCCTTTATAGTCACTGTCCATCAGCATAGTAAGATGCTATAGAGTCACTACTTGTCTTCTCTGTGCTATATTGCCTTCCCCATGACCTACCTATATTGTGATTTCCAATTAATCTCCTTCTCCCTTCCTTCGCCCCCACCCTCCCCAGTCCCTTTCCCTTTGGTAACTGTTAGTCCATTCTTAGATTCTGTGAGTCTGCTGCTGTTTTGAAAAGGAATCATTTTTATACCCCAGAACAATCTGTTCTTAAGAACGGCCTTCAGGGAAACCAGTTAATTAGAGCCTAACCTCCTTAGGGTATTATCAGAGCCTAACTGACCTGTGGATGAGAAATACTCCACACCAGCCTACTCTAGTCATTCGGTATTACCTAAGGGGAGAAAAAAACTGAAGTTTTTCTTCTGAAGTTTACCATTCAGAGGCATAACCTTATCAAAAGATTGAGAAATAATCATAAGACTATAGAAATCTTTCCCTCCCCCTGTATCTAACCACATTAGTAAAAGCATATTCCTTTTTTTAAATTGAAGTATAGTTGATAAACAATCTTATATTAATTTCAAGTATATAACACATTGGTTCAACACTTACCCATATTATTAAATCTCCCCCCACTACTACAGCTACTATCTGTCAACATAGGAAAATGTTATAAAACTATTGGCTATATTCTCTATGCTGTAGTATACTATCCCCATGACCAACCTACTTTATGATTGAGAATTTTTGTGGCCTTTATCCCCCTCAAGATTCCTTCCCACCCACCCCAAACTCTCTCCCATGGAAACCATCAGTCAATTCTCAGTGTCTATGAGTCTACTTCAGTTTTCTTAATTTTGTTTTGCTTTGTACTTACATTCCACAAATAAATGAAAACACATGGTATTTGTCTTTCTCTGCCTAGCTTGTTTCATTAAGCATACACCCTCCAGCTCGATTCACGTTGTTGCAAATGGCAGGATTTATTTTTTTTAAGGGCTGAATGATATTCATCTATTGATGGATACTTAGGTTGCTTCCATATCTTGGCTATTGCAAATAATGCAGCAATACACATAGGGGTGCGTATGTCTTTTCGAATCAGGAATTTTGTTTTCTTCAAGTAAATTCCTAGAAGCAAAGTTACTGGGTCAAATGGTATTTTTATTTTTAGTTTTTTGAGGAACCTCCATACTGCTTTCCACAGTGGTTGTACCAATTTACATTCCCACCAACACTGTGGGAGTGTTCCCATTTATCCATATCCTCGCTGACACTATTTATTGCCTTTTGGACAGTGGCCATTCTAACTGGTGTGAGGGGATATCTCATGGTGGTTCCGATTTGCATTTACCTGGTGATTAGCGATGTGGAGTATCTTTTCATGTACCTCTTGGACATCTGTATTTCTTCCTTTGAGAAATGTCTGTTCAGGTCCATTGCCCATTTTTTTTAACTGGGTTATATGTTTTTTGGAGTTGAGATATATGAGTTCTTTATATATTTTGGATGTTATCCCCTTATTGGATAAATTGTTTACAAATATATTCTCCCATACTGTAGGTTGCCCTTTTGTTCTGCACATGGTGTCCTTTGCTATACAGAAGATGTTTAGTTTGATGGAGTCTCGCTGGTTCATTTTTATTTTGTTTCTCTTGCACAGGATGTGTCCAGCAAAAAATTGCTCATATTTATCTTCAAGAGATATTGGCTATGTTTTCTTCTAAGAGTTTATGGTTTCTGTGTATTATAATCAGGTCTTTGATCCATTCCAAGTTTACTTTTCTTTATGGAGTTAGGCAGTAATCCAGTTTCATTCTCTTCCATGTAGCTCTCCAGATTCCCCCACACCAGTTATTCAAGAGGCTATCTTTTCCCCATTGTATATTCATGGCTCCTTTATTGTAGACTGACCATGTCTGTGTGGGTTTATATCTGGGCTCTCTATTCCATTCCATTGATCTATGGGGCTGTTCTTGTGCCACTACTAAATT